CCGGATATTACCAAGTTGACACTAAGAACATTGAAGGCAAGTACGACTTCTGCACAAAAACAGATGTTGAGTTGCACTGCAAATACTACTCACTTAATACCACAAAATGTATTGAGTGCCAAGACGCCTTCAACATGAAAGATGGTGTGTGTGCTGAACAATTTGATGATCTCAATAAAGTCAATGATACAAAGATGTCAGTAATTAACATGAAAAGTTCACCAAAATCACAAGAAGAAGTCGACTGTTCGACACGAAATAACAAAGGGTGTCAGCGATGTCCATTTGGGTATTTTTTGAACAAAAACGGTTGTGAGAAATGCACGAATGACTGTCTTAGTTGTTACAATGCAACATATTGCATTTCATGTCATAGTAGATATTTTCTAGACTTATTTATGAAATGTCAGACACTTGGTGAATTGGCCAATAGGTGTGAAGTGCCATTACCTGCTGGTGGTCGGTGTGCTATTTGTAAAGTTGGGTATTTCAAAGCAGAGAAAGATTGTGATGTGTGTGACGAGTCGTGTGATATGTGTTTGAAGAAAGACGAGTGTTTGTCGTGTAAAGATGGCTACATCAAAATTGCAAGTGTAACAAATTATGTTCATCAAATACAACACTCTCAAATTGTTTGAAGTCAAATCTCGAAGGGTGTGTACTTTGTAATGATTCTTATTATTTACAAAATGGGCGTTGTATTAATTGTAAAGAGAGTTGTGCAACATGTGAAAATAGTGTAGTGTGTTTATTGTGTAAAACAGAGAAAGTTCTATTGAAAGGAAGTTGTGTTGAATATCACACGATATCGGATTGTATTTCGGCATATAACTCGAAGTGCACTGCTTGTAAAGGGAGTAACAAAGTATCGGATGACGGTGAGAGTTGTGTGTCTAATACCAAATATGGTGTTGTTATTGGAATACCAATTGCCATAATTTTTATCATAATATTTATTGTATTCATGATCTTTTATCTGGCACTCAAAATACATCAAAGGCGTATTCAACACAAAGTTAATAAAAATGTGTGTATATTTAATATGAAGCGATCGAATATATTGATGATTCCTTTGTGTGATTCTCTTTGTACCAACAAAGAAATTTTGAAATTTGATTTAGAAAACGATGAATTTATTCCAGTTGACAAAGAAACAAGAGACTTGATATGTATTGGAAACACATCAAAACACAACATGAAAGTGCAGCTTAGTGTAATGAAAGGGTGTGATTATTACACAATCCGAAGTGTACCATCTCTTGTTACACTCCACAAAGGTGAAGCATGTGAGTTTGAGATCTTTATCACGCCACTGTGTTCATGTTATATTAATGATAAAATAGCAGTTATTGCACTTGATATTACAAGTGGACAACAAATCACAACAAGTGTTACTGTAAATGTCACCACAGAAGAATCAACAAAACTAAATTACAGAGAACTTGAAGAATTAAGTCAAATTGGGGAAGGTTCCTTTGGTGTTGTGTATAAAGGAACATTCAGAGGTAATACAGTAGCAATTAAGAAAATGAAAATAAGTGGTGAACAAGACGATAATGTAATGATAGAGTTTGATAATGAAGTAGCCATGTTGGACAAATTCCGATGTGAGTATTTCGTCCACTTTTATGGCGCAGTGTTTATACCAACTAAGTTTTGTATGGTCACTGAATATGCAGAGTACGGGTCGTTACAAGACTTGATTAAAAAGAGAAAGAAAACTGATGCTATCAACATGAAAATGCGTGTTAAAATAATGTTAGATGCATCACGTGGAATTTTGTATTTGCATGAGAATGGGATATTACACAGAGACATCAAACCAGACAACATTTTGGTTATATCATTGAATATTGATGACAAAGTAATAGCAAAATTGACTGATTTTGGAAGTGCGAGAAATGTCAACATGTTAATGACTAATATGACTTTCACTAAAGGTATTGGAACTCCAGTCTATATGGCACCTGAAATACTAAAAAAAGACAAATATAAGAAACCAGCAGATATTTACTCATTTGGAGTGACTATGTATGAATGTATTGGGTGGTGTCAGGCATACACAAAACATCAGTTCAGATTTCCATGGAAAATAGCAGAGTTTGTTATTAACGGTAAACGAGTTGAAAAGAAAGATAATATGCCTCAAGAACTTTTCGATGTCATTCAAAAGTGTTGGGCACAAGATATGAGTAAAAGAATCGATGCTACAACTATTGTTAATTTTCTTACTGACACCACTTTTTAATTATCTTTTTACTCTTTAATGTTTTTGATATTCAAAAATTGGTTATTTTAAAAACACTAAAAATTTGTTTAAAGTAAGTCTTTTAACGACATAAAAATGATAATGTATAATTACAACCTGATAGAAAAACAAGTTTTGGTGTTTGTAATTCAGCGATTTTAAGAGGAACAACAATGTGAATGTCACAATTTCCGGATGAACATTAATTTTTTACGTTTATTTAGTTGCATGTTTTATTTAGTATATACTTACAAAGTTGTTTTGTTTTTTTACCATAACACATTTAAAACAATATCTTTTATTATATTTTTAAATAGAATTTGATTTTGTTTTGATTATTTTTAAAAACAACCATTTAATACAGTACTTTCAATTTCATTTTTAATTATTTAATTGGGAAACACCCTTTCAAAACTATTTTAAGACAACATCCTCGTTTCTCGAGCATCCTACTAAATGCTGCTACTGTAGTTATTAATATTTGCAGAGAAAAATACGTAAAAAGTCCATTTAATTAAATTCTGTTAGATCTTTAAAATAATCTTTCAATTTTTGAAATCAAAATGCATTTTTTTCTTGCTATTGTTTAAATGTTTAAATAAATTGAATTTCTTATATAGGTTCAAAAGTATTTGACTGTTGTTATTATCTCAACAATTTCCCAAATGAAAAATTACATGTTTCATAGTAAAAATTAAACAAATAAGTGTTCAGGTTGCAAACAGATTGTGTTGTTGTATTTTTGTTAATAAAACAAATTATTTAAAATGAAGTTATTAACCATCAATAGAATTTGTATATCATGAATAATTATATAAATTTTATAATCTTAAATTCATTAAAAATGGGTTTTTATAATGTGTTTTAAAAACGAAAATGCCAAATATTTACAGTTTTATTTATTTTAATTTTTGGTAGAATAAACTAATTTTAGATTAGCTTGCATTTACAAAAAAAGTTCAAAAAACTAATCAAAAATATATAATTGTCGAGGTTTGACTACAGTCAAAGGCGGCTATTTATCGAAATTATAACTTGCTTAATTGTTGCACAACCGATCAATCATTTTGGTGTTCGACAATTAAATATTTTGTTCTCGAATTTGTAACTTTTGTTGAATTAAAAACTAATTTTTTTATAAAAAATAAATTTCAATATTAAATAGAATTTTCTACAAAATTTACTCATTTACGACAAATAGATACTTTTTTCTGCTGGATTTACGACAAATAGACGCCTTTGACTGTAAATTTTTTTAAATCTATTTGAGACTTTTAAAGCGCTTGTTGTCGTATTAGTTGAAATGCTAAATAATTTTAATTCATTGTATTCATTTGAAAGTGAATATTTGTCGAAATAAAAATAATGATAAAAGTCATAAAACGATAAATGACAGAGAACACCATTAGTGTAATTTATTTGTGTCACTTTTTTGAAAACAACATTGGCTTAAAGTTTACAGGTCTGCTGTTTGATGGTATTTTTCTGATAGAATTGAGTTATAAAATTTTACAAACAATTTATAAACAATCCTTTCTGTTTAGATGTTTTAAAAGTCAATAAAGTGTTCTTCTAGTTTTATATATTAATTTCTTTGTTCTATATTTTATAATTTACATGTTCTGTATTTTGCTAAATTAATTACAGCGAAAACTTTTGAATGCAGTAACCATGAAGAGAGGGCTTTTTTAAAATAAAACTATAGAATAAAACCAAAAAAACGAGTTCTATAAATCAGTTTTAAGTTTTGTTTGACCAAAAAACCACTTTCTTAATCGACCAAATATAACACCCTCCAATCCTTAATTAATATGACTGTAATGATGAAAATCTGTATTTACATTTGTAGTATTGATATTAACATTAACATTATTATTAAACATAAAAATGACAATTCACTTATTTTAAAATGAGCAAACAACAAGACACATAACAGTTAAAAACTCCGCCAAGACATTATATGAATTGTCTTGTTTATTAATTCCGATAGTTTCATAAGGCATTTCTTCCCAACAATAATATTAGTAAATTACCTTTTTTTTCATTTTAAAATCGTTGTTGTTAACATCATAAAACATTGGATCTTGACTCGAGTTAGTGTTCATCTCCCACCTTTTCATATATTTATTACACTGATCAGTAAATACATAATCCCATGTGTTATTATATAATACATTACAATATATTTCTGTGTTCTCCATATACAGCCAATGTAAATTTTCTTCTTTCATTTATTCATCTGGTGTTTTTGGTAACAGCGCCCATTCAGTAAATTGGTCTTTCCACGGAGAAGCGTATCTATACACTCTATTGTTCACCATCGTGTCCAGTAAATTATAAAACACATTTGGAGTTGTGTCATACCTTGTCGATTTTCTAGAATTTCCCGAATACCCCGTCTTACATTTATAGAATATGTTATTATAATTAATTTTAGACCTCCCAGAACCCTGTACAAGACCATAACCGACAAAATTCGAAACGACGTTTTGGTAGACTCTTTGCTTCGATAGGTCGTCGTCTAAGTAAAATCCAATAACATAAGACCATCCACCCAATTGCCCAAATCCCGTTGAGTCGTGGAAATAGTTGCGTTTGATGACATTACCGGAATATCCCCAATGTGTACCAGAATATAATGCACCACAATCAGAAGCTCTTGCACATAAGTTTTAGCTTCATTATATGAGATCTCGAAATACGCTCCTTCGTGTGAATACCCCAAATGGTGATTGTTTTACATGTAATTATGCTTTATGTAATTACCAACAATTCCAATAGAAAACCCCGGTATAAAAGTGAATGATACTTATTACGTGGTCTATCATATTTTTGATTTATTTTACATGATCAGTCCCTTTGTTGTTCACACATTGTCAATATTATTTTTTGTCACTTTAACGTGTAATAATTTGGATTTAAAATTGCATTATTATTCAATGTTTTAAAAAAAATCAACATAATAAACAAAAGATTTCAAACAAAATTTCTGTTGATCCCTGTGGCAGTTAGATAAGTAAATCAAACGAGATTTGATTTGTGTAGATATGATAATGATCATTTTAAATATATTTATGTATGCTCAAGTATCCATTTACTACTTCTTTAAAATGAAACTTGTTCATTGTAGAGATGAAGATTTATAACTACTTTAAAATTTTTGTTAGACTCAAAAAATGTATTTACTGAAATAAAATTTAATGTGCTTTTATTAAGTTGGCTTGACAAGAAGCTTCTAAAATGGTAGATTATAAAAAATGAAAATAAACTAATTTACAAATAAAATGCCAAATTTATGGAGTATGAATAAATAACCAGACTCAATTTCAATATTAGATAAAGCTCAAAACTGTTATACCTTTTTAAAATAAAAATGATATAATAAATTAACTTATAAATTCCAATGACGTTTGGCTTAAATTATTTAAAACAATATAATCATATCGTTTGGATATTTACATGTAAATTTTAATTTATTTTAATAAATTGTAAAAATTTGTTGATATAATAATTAAAAATGAATGAAGATTAATTTATTTCGTTGATTGTCACTCAAGAAAAACTTGAGTGTATCTTCTAAATCGACTTTACCATCGCTATCACTATCCATTGCCGACAAAGCCGTCTTCAATTCTTCTTCATTTAATTCAGTTTTCAAGACTCTCATGAATCTGGCCAATTCATTAATTTCAAGGGTTCCACTATTATCATCATCAATTAAATGGAAAAGAAGGGTATATAACGATCTATCGGATTTGTCCTCAACTTCATCAAGGTTAGTCATTACATGGACAAACTCATTTGAGGTCAAAAACCCATTTTCTTCTATGTTTGCCATGTCAAACACCATTTTTAAGTGTTGATTATCAACTTTTTCATCTTTGTTATCTTTAAATGCATTTAAAAACTCGTTGTAGTTGATGAGACCATTGTGATCAGTATCAAGTTCTTCAAACTCTTCAGCGAGACTCATTTGATGATTATTAGTTATCACATCTGTATTTATAATAGTTTATGATATATTACACAATGTGTAATTTTTAAATAAACAACCAAATAATTTGGTTAATAATATAATTATGAATTATAATAGTTGTTCTTGTTTTATTAAATTGTGTTTTCATTTATACTGTTTATACAAACACAAAATGGGTGTATTGAATGTTATTTTTAATTTATAATAAAACGAATATTTTAAAAAACGTTGATTTTAGACTAAATTTTATAATTATGTCTATTTAATTTACAAACGCATTTTTTGATTTAAATAACATATATGCAATCAATGTAAATTTAAATGTGTAATCAAATAAGTTTGTTATTTTATTTATTGATTTACAAAAACAGTTATATTAATAATTATATCGTTGTTTTATTTATCGATCGATTATATCCAAAAAATATACATGAATAAAAAATTATTAAATAGTCAAATTGAACACACATTGAATTTGACAAATAATACTTCATAATTTTTAATTTAAAACTTGTAAATTATATCAAATCTAAATATAATTGTAATATCAGAAAAAAATTTCATTGTTGGCATAATTGGTAATAATTATTTTAACATTACTTAAACTAAAAACTTTTTATTCATCCTTACTACTTTCGTACTCTTTTACATTTTCTGAAGCCTCCAAACAATATTTTAAACCATCATCTATATACTTAATTATCTTGTTGGCGATAAAATCAAAGATACAAAAATTTGTTTTTGTATATTTTCACTAAAGTCATCAATGACAGTTTGTATACATTGAGCAACATCCTTTTAACCTTTAAAGCAATGAATGCTATTAAATTGTGAGTATATTTATTAAAATTTTCATTGGCGTACGTTTCAAGCCAAACACCAAACTTTTCACAAACCTGAAGTGTATTTTTAACATTAAATCTGTCGATAAATACAAAAAATACATAAAATCACTTATAATTTAATCATATATCATTTATTAATATTATTTCTTCGGTGTTCGGAGACGTATTGTGAATATGCTGCTGGTATTGGCGAAATGCGAATGGAGACTATAACCAAAAACAAAGCAGTTGAATTCTTTAATAAATTTAATGAGTACCTTGAAGCTTATGCTTTCAGAGATATTGCCAAACAACCTCCACAACCTCCAGAAAACAGCACTTATTATCAAAAACATGATATAAACCTGTATGCTGATGTAATAAAAAAGTATTTAGACGAACAAGGAGAAAATGTTGTCTTCCATGACCTCTTTATGAAAAATGATCAACATAATTGGAATACCAAGAGACCTCCATTTAAGTCTCAGTCCAAACAATTTTGATCATAAGGTCTGCAGTTTCTATGTTGTTAACATGGCGACTTTCATATTTGAGAATGGGAAAGTTTATGCGCGTGTCCCCGCCCAAATATTCAACACAAGTCCAGTCAAAATTTATGGAGCAGATAAAGTAAAGACTGTGTACAACAAGTTTAATGTCCCAGTCATTTCAATTAACGGTATTGACCCAATCAAGTTTATTGCAGACTACGCTTATAAGTACTTTTTACTCAAAAATGTGCATGGTGCTGTGACTTACTTCATTCGTTCATTTACTGGTTGCCCTTATTACTCGGTTCCTATTAAAGTGGAAGATACTGATTTTGTTATCCAGTTTGAGGATGGCAGTAACGCAACATGGAGTACTAAATTGTCGAACATATGGTCTGAAAGTGCTGCTATTAGTAAAAGCGAACTTTTTGCTCGTAAATTTTGGAAAGGAAAATAAAGGAAAACACAAGAAGAAGTGAAAGAAATTACAGAGAAGGTATTTTAGAAGGAAAAATTGATATAATAAGTCCCGAATTATACGATAAAATGGACGTAAGATTTGAAAATAATATGAACAAGTTTATGGGAAGAAAATTAAAAAGAAATAACAAACAAGTTCCTCTATTGTTAGAACCTCCATTAATAAAACAAAATGCTAAAAATTCACATTTAAATGATGAAGTGTCATATTCAGAAAATCAACAAGACATTATTTCCCAAAATGAATATAAAGTTTTAATGAGAAACTCAAAGGAATTCTATAAACTGTCTTCTCAAATTGATGCCAAAATAGACCTTCTTTTTACCACTAAAAAGCATACTCTTCCAGTAAAAAGTAAAGGTTTATTTAATTATACATTAGACGGTGTTCTTGCATGTGGGCAGCGTGTGTTCTTTGATATTTGTTACAACTTCTTAGAAGTTTCGAGTTTCTCATCCGAACAATTGACCGACTTTTTGGCATATGCAGCTGAATGTGGAGAGATATTTAATTCCAACACAGATACAATAGTTATAGTTCTTCCACGTTGTGGCGGCGGCTTTGTTGATGCTGAAGACTTTTTATATAAAAATTATTTCTCCATCAACAAACTATGAGAAAGCAAATGTTGCTCGAATCAGTGAAAGTTCAGAGAAAGTCCTTAGAAATGGATTTGGAGCACTTATAGAAGATCCTGTGACACATATTGGAAGAGTTCCAAGAAGTAACTCGTATTATGATGGTGACCTTGGAGACTTCTATAATAAACCTGGCTCTGAATTTTATGGAGAAAACAAAGAAGTTGAGTTTAAACACATTCAGAAGTTTCATTTGATTGAAAACACTCGAGACTTCCCAACAGTGAATGCAAGAAAAAAATCAAATTGTCGTCTTTTCAGACCACTTTTGCTTCTCTGCATGTTCACTGTTTACTTATCACTTTAGTGAGAAAATAATATGCAATCTCTGCGACATATAGTGAACTACCAGACTCGACATTTAGAAAATTTGGAAAGAGTCCAACTGCTGTTATTCAAGACGATTATATTCATGACGGCTTGGAAACAGTTGTGAAGGACATGGGATTTAAGATGGGCATATCATATTTACCAACTCTGCCGTTGAATGAAAGTGATTTGGTGCCAAATGAGTATAAAGTGCACCAACCTATGGAGCACACGAATATACAGTTTTACTATGGAGACGAACAATCAATCAATGCGTTCTTGGAAGTAGCAGAGGCGTTCATTAAGAAGTAAAAAAAAATTGGTGTGAGACTGGGGAATTAAAAGAAGATATAAAATGTCGTGAAAACAACACTCCGGAAGTGTGGGGAAGACTGTGTGAAAATGAGTATTTTAATATGAACAATGTGTTTTTGCGAAATGTGCTGATAAATACTTTTCTAACAATGAAAAGAAGTTATGTCAAATTGTTGAATAAGAAGAAGACAAAATATTACCTACAATTCTAAGTGTACTCAAAACAGTGACAGTGAAATGTGGGGATTACATTGTATTAATAATGTGCTGGACTCAAATAATTGCTCTTTTATGGAATGCAAAACTGGGTATCTTTGTAACCCATATAAAGAATATGTGTTATAAAAAAGAGTGTTAGGACTCCACTTAAATTGTTGAAAACACTAAATGCCTACTAACAAGTATCGGCGAGTCGTGGGGAATCAAATTTTTCATTAACGGTCGATATAACATTGAAAAAATGTGGGTTTATGTCGTGTAAAAGTGGATATATATACGATGATATAAAGAAGACATGTGGCGTACAATCATCGGCGTGTAAAGATGGAGAAATAAAAATCGATCAAATGTGCAAAAAAAAACTTCTGAAAAAGAATTTTGGGCCGCCAAATGTGTTGATGGAACTTTCAATTATACCAACTGCGAGTTTGCCCAATCTGATGATGGTTATACCTTGAGTGATGACATAAACAAAAGATGTGTCAAAAATGGGAAAATACAGACAATGCAACTATTTTATGTGTGGTTACTTTAACACTTCTAATGGTTATAATGGTGTAAGAAATGACTTGTTATTGTTTGGTGTTATATTCCAATGTTTTAATAATAGTTGAAAATTTTAAGACTTATATCAATGTTATTATAAACTATAATAATGAAATTATAGTTTTAATTATAATTTTTATAAATTAGACTAAACTATAATTAAATTCTAAACATGAAAATTGTCAGGGTCGGCCAAGATCCAGTTTTTAAATAACTCCGTGGCAATCTCTAATACGTGTCAGTTCATTTTTAGTTTTAGCATATTGTCAACAAAAAACTTAAAAAGTTTTTTAGAGTTAAAATGTTTTTAAATAATTGTTAAAACTATAGTTAACGATTTAAACAATTTTTTGTGTGTTCAAATAATCATTACAATGTGTTATAATCCAGTTTTTAAAAACAATGTTTGAAAAGTAAAAAGCTTGTGAAATATTCCGTTACAAAGTTATTTAAATTTAATAACAATATTCACTAATTATAATACTTCTAAAAACAGAAGATACTCCCAAATAACAAAAATTATTATAAATAAGTTAAGTGATTTTAACAAAAAATTTCATATTTTTACTATTGATATATTTTTTTCAAAACATACACGAATATATATTATTTACATAAGTTTTGATTTGTTCATTTACTTCCCTTTTAAAATAAATTGTCAATGAATCAATCAAATTGTAGTATTGAGTATTTTTATTATTATTTGCAATAATACAAAACAAACATTGTATTTTTTGAATAAGGTAAACCATATTACTTTCAAAAAACAGTAAAACTTATCTTTAAATAATCTTATTAATGAAAACGATCATTCAAAACACGATAACAATGAGTCAATATTATAATTACTCATTGAATTGAAAACAAAAAAATACAAATGCATTATTGAGTTGTTTTATTTACACACGAATTATATAATTGAAAGGTTATGGTGTACAATTATATCAACACAAAAATATTAAAAATTGTATTTTAAAGTTATTTAAAAACAATTTTGTGTTAAATTTAAATTATCGTTTTATTTTTTTTTTCATTTTATCATATGGTATAAATAATTG